TGGGAGTGTGGGAGAGGACCAAACACTGTGAACCGGAGGCCCGACCCCTCTCTGGGTCTACCCTGGGCCCCTAGGTTCACAGATCATGTTTGGTCACACTAACTATATCACGGAATATGGCCCATGTTTCGTGACATATGTTAGTGTCCCCCAAACTCGAACACACAGACAACGATGAGTCACCTACTTGAAACGAGATCCTCACTGTCGGAGGGAGGAGACATGTCCGATGGTTCAACAGAACCTTCAGAAGACACCTTCCACTAGGGACATTCTCCGACGTAACATCCTCATCAATGAGAGACCCTCACACCAAGTTAACATTACAGTTATGGGATGCAGGAAGTTACTCCCCAAGCTCCGACAGCTGGGTTATCGTTCGAAACTGAACTCAACGGGAGACCATTTGAGAAAGCACTACCACAAAGTCTAAGAAACACACCAAGCGTCCAAGAGTCATGCAGCGTCCAAAATTTGCTCAACATGGCTCCGACACTTCTTCTTCACGGATTCATCCACGTAGCTCTCGAAGGCCGATGAACGCCAATTACCCCCAGCTTTGATTTGGTGAGAGCTCACCCCGTGGTCGGATAGACTTGACGCACCCGAGCGACGTAGACTGTGCATCGTAACTTCATCCAGTTTCCACTCGAAGACATATTGCGGAAACTCCTTGGTGAGAAATTTCCTGAGTTCTCCCGAGTAGGTGCTCGTACTCAGCTCAGGAAATACCCTTTGGCTCGTTGAAGTAGCTTTTCGCGACATCTTAGTAATATTGTGAGCCACACAATGCACCTTGTTGCATAAACACCCCGCTGAGCATAAAATTTCACGTTCCTCATGGAAGGAAGTTTTGGTGTTGTAGAAATCAAGACGCACTAGAGTACCCTCTGGTGTTTCTCCCCAACTCACGTCTGCCACACGGAGTGCTGCCACCTGTTTAAACCGGAGCATCAAAGTACTGCCCAATAAAGCTGCTGATCTGATCTGATCTTCTAAACTCGCAAATTGCAGAGGCATATGAGCTAACGCTTTCAGACACTCGCTCGGGAGCACTACTGCTCTCTTTATTGGACGTTCAAGAGAGCTCAGTGCATTATCCGCACTCCGCAGAGCCCTATCTACGATTTGGCTCTCTTCACGGGAGAACACTTGTCCAAGGCGAACCTGGGCAGTCGATCGCACGGCCGAAGTATATTTACGGATAGTAGATGATTGAATCTCCCCTGAGGCCGTTAGACCTCTGATGAAAGAAATAAGGTTGTTGACTGTGACGCGATTCGTCGCACATATGGGACCGAATCCGGCTTCGTAGTAGCTCACAGGTGTTCGGTATTGTTGTAATGTAGAAGGCTTCAGAGACTGTGACAGAAACTCCAAGTTTTCCTTCTCCTTCTCTTCAGCAGATTTGCCCTGTGCTTGGCTGTAGAAACTCTCAAGATACGATCGAACCCTTGACGGTTCCCGAGGCATGTTTTGGAGAAGAAAGTGTTAGGAAAATGTAACCAAAAGCCCCACTGACGTACCAAGAGATTGACAACACTATCTGTTCACATAATTTCAGAAACATCTGCTGCCCAGAGAGATGCTCGAACCAGAGTCATCCTTGAGGCGTTTCAGCGACCCGGCGCCACTTAGCAGGAGCGGTTGTTATGATCTCCGATCTAGAAGGACGACTACTGAAATCTACTATTAGAAACTAACTATTTCAATAGATCTATTGATGCCACTACACCGATAGTTGCTAATAAGACGACAACGCTGTTTCGTACCATCTTTATAAATCGCCCCGATTTTACTTACTGCCTTCATTCCCTTAGAACGGGCAGCCCGCTCCGACAGGATCTCGAATCTTCCGGCTCTTACTTCTTCTCTAATTTGGTCGGTAGCGAGAGAGCTAAGGCCATCACTCGCTAGCTTTATCAGGGCTGGTAGACAGGGATCGTCAGCTGGCCACCGTATATACTCTAGTTCACCCGGTTTAGGTGGTTTGCGTTTGAAAGCCGGCCAAGTATCCGTATTCTCAACCATAGGAATATTAAGACCAACCCCACAACCACTCATAGTGGCAAAACCAATTCCATTATCTTCCGGAATACTCTCATCTGCGGTGATGCGGGATAGCACCTCCAAAAGCCTACCCCTAGCCTTTGAACCTGAAGAAGCCGGTTCCATGAAGGTAGCAGTATTCCCAAAGCCGTGACTCTCTAGTATGTTGCAGAATCCAACTGCTAACTCGTTGCCCGCTTCGACAATACCGAGATTGACCCATCCAACGGCCATGGAGGATTATAACTCTCTTGATGAGAAATCGAAGGTCGATAGAAACTCCTTAACCTGGGGTTGATTAGACCATTCTGTCGCTTTATCCTGAAGAGCATTAGCAATCTCGTTAACGACGGCCTCGAGTCGGGTCGAAATATGGATAGTAGAATCCCACTGACATGTGGCGGGCAATCCTGATCCATCTTGCATCGGAGATGCAGATCGCTCTTTTGCTGAGACTGATGCGGCCAATGTTTCCCAACAGTTGCCGTCAGTTGAAAGAAAACCGGGGACTTGGTCCACCGATAAAGACTTCGAGTTGTCCGGGGGAGGATCGGCGCTCCTCGTGTCGACATAACTCTTCACGGTAGTAGTGATAGCACTATGAGCATACCGAGCGGCTTTGTAGCGTCGCCTTCGACGTTTGCGAGCCTCCTGGGAGCGGCAACCTTTAGTCGTGGGCGGCCAGATAGCCGACCCCGACAAGGAGAAAATAAACTGACAGGTTACCAATCGATCCTGAAGCCATGCCCCAAGAAGCTCACTACCCAGCGCAACCAGAACAAATTCACAGAAACAGACCCGCGGGGGCTTCATCAAAAAAAAGTCATTGAGGAGCAACCATTCGCAGTTGAACCTCATCATCTACCTCTGAGATAAGATGATCACACGTTGTCAACGACTTCAACGCGACGTTGAAGACATATACTCATAATCAGGTGGTCTTCCTCTTCTTATTCTCGTCAGCCACATCACTCTTATGCTGTGAGGGACCAAATGGGCATTTACGGATCTTCAGCAACTGGCACTGACTCCGACTGTAAGGGCAGGATCCTGTAAGTGAGTAATCCGATCTTGAAGGCTCGTTAGGGTCAGAACGACCATGACCTCTACCTCTTCCTTTGCCCGGAAAGCGACGATCAGAGATAGAATCCCCAAATCTACCCATAGGGGTGGAACTATAGGCTTGGACTAGCAGTTCACTGTTAGTCCCCTTCAATAACGTCTTCGCTACCGCCTCACCATAGCTGATACCCTTCTTTTCTGCCAAACGACGGGCCAATGAGGACAAGCGTTGGCGGAAACCTTCATCATAACTAATACTAGCACCAACACTGTGGGATGTTGCTATACGAGCGAGGGTGATAACGTATTCAGCCAGAATATTGCCCACCGAAGCGGAAGAATTCACTTCCACCATCGCCGCCCACGGTACGAGAGTCTCGTAACGAGACATAGTAGAAGTTCGGGGAAAGAACGTGGCTTCTTACCCGAAGAGCTCGTCGGAGGAATGAACACTATCTTCCCCTCGCTGTCAATCGTGGGTACCTTGTCGGACGACGCCGCTGATGGCTCACCGTTGACGAGAGCGACCTTAAACTCCTTGTAGGCAGCAATATCATTATGGGCAAGCTTCAGCATACCACCATCCGGTAAGAGCGATGCCGATGGCATACCACCATATCTTGCAGAAAAACGAGCAGAATAGTCTTTCAGCGAGGCTTCCTGCGAGCTGGATGTACTCTTGAGAGAAGACTTCGCACAAGCCTCCTTGATGAGAGATCTCACTTTCATTGCCTTCACAAGCCGTGATTGCTCAGCATCATCAGTCTCCTTAGCCGCCGCAGGGAACAATGAGTTGACCAAAGAGGTCAATAGTGGATCGTCTGACGCAAGACCAACGAGATCTCTCTGATTCGTGATCTCCATAGCAATGAGTCTCTCCACCACGGCGTCCAGAAGAACCTCTGGATAGTCAGAAGGCAGAAGCTGTTTAACTTCGTCATGAGTGGCGTTATTCATATTGGATTGGAGGAGGGAAAAGGAACAACTGAGCTTCCCAGGAATCACAAACCTCCTCTAATGGG